GGGGAAGAAATCACGTTTCGCGTAATGCGTACTCTTGGGGAGGATTTTTGCCGATGAAATGTTCGAGCAACCGTGGAAAAAACAGAATGTAAACCGGTTTACGACGTCGAAAGAGTATTTCCTCGTTGTTGGAACGAGATGTTCGAGTGTTCGCCACCGATTACCGGTTAAATTACAATTATACGCCTTCCAACTTTTCTGGGGGCGGAGGGGGGACAAGTTTTAGATAAAACTTGGTCGGAGAACGATGTTTTGTTTCCTTAATTTGAGAGACCGATTGTAATTTCAATCTCATTCCTTTTTTTTTTTACTTATTTATTTTTTTCGATTAACGTAAATATCGAAAGAAATATAGAAAGAAAGATGATGATGATGATGATGATGATGATCGATAAATGTATCGAATATACGAGAATGATGAGCTAGCTTTAGAAAGATAAGTTGAAAAATTTTGGCAAGTTAATGTTATAAAATGTTTATTTTTTTATATTTTGTATAAAAATATTTAATAAAATTTAATAAAGCTGGATCATACGTATGAATTAATATTTATTAGAAAATTTATAATAAAAATGCCAGGATCTCGTCAGGATATTCTTAATTTTGGAAAAAGCGGAGGATTAACCGTGATTAAAAACAAAAAAAATTTATCGAATTCTGAGATCTGACTAATTTTTTTTTTTTTGTAAATAACAAAGCTGGCTAATCGTTCAAAACAACAAACGTATAAATTCATCATTGTAATTATACGTGCGATTGCTTCGACGATTTATCCATTTTGGAAAGCAATATTCCAATAGCACTGTAAAAAAGCATATGCGATCTCGCAAGAATCACGTTTGAAGGGAAAAAATATGCGCACGATGTATGTTCGACATGAAACGTGGAATTGTTTCGAGCAACGTGGTCGAGCAATGAATTAGATCAAGGTTGCATTGCATCGCTAAAATTAGCCGACAGAATTCAGAAAAATTCTGGCATTGCGACACTCGTTTTCCACGATCTTTTAAATTGTTACAACTGAAAGGATAATCGTTGCTCGATAACTCGATTATATATTTTAAAAAAGGAAGAGCGACTAAACTTTATTGGTCTCATTAAAAGGAAACGATCGGTCGTAAAAATTTTTATTACTCGAGAAAACGAAAGTTTTCGAACACAAAGCCAAATTTCTTTTGAGAAAATTCAATTTTTCGAAAAAAATTTTATATCCCCCGAAAATATTTCTAATAAATTCCGTTGATTCGATTTTTTATGAAAAAAAAAAAGAACAAAAAAAAATCAAAATAAGTTTCCTATTTTTTAAAAATAGGAAAAATGATAAAAAAAATTTTCTATTCCTATTGAAGAATTAAAATATAAATGGATAGAAACAGATACAATTGTTTCTTCCATGTATATTCATATTTCACTCAAATCAAATTTTTATCGTGTTTAAAATAAAAATTTTATTAATCGATTTATTTTTCAATCTATTCCTCAAAATTCGTGGAAAAATTTTATGAATTTGTTTTTTCTTTTTTACAATTCCTACAAAAATCGATGGTGGAGATACTTTTAGCGAGATTATTTTTTGATCTCGTTTAAATAAAAGCTATATATATTCACGTTTAAATCATTTCCATAATATTATTTTATAGATTCCTAATCTATGCGCAACAATAATTAATTCTAATTTCGAAGCGAAATCATTAATCACGATTAAAAAAAAGAGCGCGAAATCAGAAACGCGTGCACGTAACTTTCTATGATTATTTACCGTTAGTTTGTGTTATAAATATTATAATCCCATTATATTATTTTTTTTTCAAACATTGCTCCACTCTGATTACATGTTCAATTAATATACTTTATATTTGAAACTTGGAGGAAAAAGATTGCTTATTATCTTATCTGGGGCAATTAACTCGAATAAAAGATTACAGTCGAGTAATTCTCTCGGTTCTATCGTGAAACGAGATTAAGTTTTCTACGTATTTTTAAACTGCGAGATTTTCTATTTTACCATTTACGATCTATACTTTGAACTTTGTGATGAATTCGAGACTGGAGATAAAAAAAAGAAAAAAAAAAAAAAGAAGGAAAAAAAACGCGTATCTTTTTCTTTTTTATCTCCACACAACTCTTATTCAAATTTGATTGCATATTTCAATAATGAAATCTTCTTTCGAGGCGTGTGTCGTTGAAAAATAAAAATTTTGTAATTTCATCCTTCGAATTGACACGTTATTGACACTTTTTAATTTTAATTATCCCATCATTGTATTTATTTTGTTATCTCAAAGATGAAAATTTTCTTTGTAATAAGATAACAAAATCTGATGCACGGATTATGATCGTTCAACGTTCACAATCTTAATTACTTTAGCCCAGTCCTCGATAATAATAATTCTTATTCATTTACGGAATAAGAAAATGTTCCTCTCTTACTTTCACAATAAGATTACAACGAAACAATCCTAGCTGATTTACCGGTTTAAATATTACTTTCTATTTTACAGAATATAGCTATTTATACGCGGTGCTGTCGTTATGAACCAAGATTGCTTCTCCAATTCATTATTTTCGCAATAAGAGCAATGTAGCAATTCGTCTGATTCATTACATTCGAAACTTTACTTTCTATCAACGATCGAACCGAATGGAAATGAAATTTAATAAATATACGTACGAAAAATATAAAAAAATATATATATGTAAAAAGTGTCTATTTTCTTTGCCTACTACGATACCTAATTACGATATAAATATTATATTATATCATCTAAATTAATACCTAATAATGATTTTATTTACATCTCATGAAAATGTTCTAAAATAATCTTTGTTTTCGCGAAACTCTTATTACGGATCCTAAAAATATCGATTCCATAAGAACGGTTTAAAAAAAAAAAAAAAGAAAAGAATCTAATCTATTGATCTCGAAGGATATAAATAGATTGTTTTTTTAACTTTTCTCAGTACACGATTCGACGGACAGAATTGCTCGTTACGTATTTATAATTATTTCGATCAATAAATAACTATTACGAAGATAGAATATTGCAAATATTTATTATGCAATATATCTTATTCATAGTCTTAGATTATAATAAGATAATCCCCGACACAATAAAGAAAATAAACGCTCGAAAATATCTTGAATCCATCGAATTTGAAATTTATTTTATTCCCGCTTAAATTAAAAATATATCTATTTTAATTTAAGACTATGAATAATAAAAAAAAAGAAAATCGTAAAATAAATCTTTGCAAATTTCCATGTGTTTTTTTTTTTATTAATTATCAATTATTTATTGAACGATATAAATTATATATAAAAGAGTATAATTACAATTTTGTCCACAACGTGTGAACAAATTAAATTAAATTAATAAAGATGCTTCGCATACACACACACACGCGCGCGCATACATACATACACGCGATGATTCGTCCTCGAGAAGTAAGAGAAAAAGGGGGGGAAAATAAGAGAGCAAAAAACCACTCACCTCTCCATGCGTGTCCCTTCGGCCATCCGGGGTGTTCTCCGGCAAGAAGTATAACCGCAACGATGCCAGAGGTTGATTCGGTCCCCGGCTGTCCATCCACAACAGCTGAAGTTCCCCGATGCTGACAAGATCGGCATCGCTCCACAGTTTCGTGAGGAAGAAGCTTCCAAGGCGAAGTACACGACCATTTCCTATTCTAACCGCTTTGTAGAACGTGTACGGGCCGTGGCTGAAGCAAGCACCGCCCAATAACTGAAACGAAATCGACGTCGTTTCCTCTTATAACTCTTGTCCTTCTGTTTACATACAATACAAATGTTCCGTAATCTCCAAGCGAACGTTATTTGTTCTCACGCGCAGAATGTCGAAAACACACGGTCGACACTTCTATGGGCACGTATATAATTCGTGGAAATCGCGTTAAACGAAAGCTAGGAATCGGAGGCATGTCAACAAAAACAGTGCGATGGAAATATTCGTATATACTCGAGAATCTTGAGTATATTATTAAATTTTTACAATATCGTGTCACGAGAGAGTTGACTGTAATTACATTAAAAGAAATAATTTATTTATTCAACTTTTATAAATATTGTAAAAGTATGTGTACATATATTTAAGATGGTAA